AGCGTCGGGGGGGGGGCGGAGGCTCAGGAGGAGGAGCTGCAAGGCTTTCAATCCCAGTCCAAGAAGCCCCGTTTAGGGAGACGCTCTTCCAAATAACAATAACGCGGGTAGAGTCCGGAGGACACCCGTGGAAATCTGCCGGGGGAAAGCTCCGTTACGGGGGTGGGGAGCTTTGCCCCGGTCGCCCGGCAGGGGGCAGCAGAGGGGCCATCGCCTCATCACCTAGGAGTAAAAGGGCGCCGGCCCCTTTAAGAAACCCACGGCGTGGGAGTCGAGGCCGGAGGCGCCGATTGGGCGGCGTGGGGCCGGAAGTCGAAGGCGGGCTCGGGGTTGGCCAATCAGTGTCAGGATCGGCCGCCCCGCCCCCTTTTCCCTCTCCTAGGCGACCGGCGCTGCTGCTGCTGCTGCTGCTATTCGAGTGGGGAGGTATTTGCAAGGTAATTGCAGGTAGGGGGCGCTAACTCGTGTTCCGCAACGCCCGCGGCGGCTTCCGGTTGAGGCCGGAGCCGGTCTGTGGGTGGCGGAAGCGGGAGACTCTCTTTCTTTTTTTTGGCGCCGCCATGGCTGAGAGGGCTTTTCCGAACCCTTTTGCGGACTACGACAAATCCTTGGCGGCGGGATACTTCGACCCTTCAGGGCGGGTGAGTGCTTGGCTTCTTCCCGCTGATCCTTTTACGCTGGTGGTACCTCAGCCTCCACAGAATTTAAAAAGCCGCCGAGGTTGAAAGCGGTTGAGGGAGTATTTTGGTAGAAAGGCTTCCCTCATTGGGACTGTTTTTTCCCCCCTCATAATAACGCCTGGCGGCTAATAAATGTCAACAAGCTGCCGTTTTTATCGTTTTTATCGTTTTTCAGTCTTGCCTTCTTCATAAAGGACCTTTCCCAGCGTCGTTTGCCAGAGTCTAGGTCGTTAGTCTTACTTTGAATTCAAATGCCGAAAAGAAGAAGTACTTTAACAATATCCCCTAATTCGTTCTTACAGCTTCTAGTTAAAAATAGAAACCCATTATTCTCCTTTCCAAAATTATATCGCATTGGGTCTCCAACCTTGGCAACTTTAAGACTCGTGGACTTCAACTCCCAGAATTCCTCAGCCAGCAAAGCTGGCTGAGGAATTCTGGGAGTTGAAGTCCACAAGTCTTAAAGTTGACCAATCTACAGCATTGGCGTGGTTTCTGTTTGTGTAATGCCCACTCTTGTACAGCAGGGGGCGTTCAGGCACATGGCAGGTAAGCTTTGCTGGCTGAGGAATTCTGGGAGTTGAAGTCCACGAGTCTTAAAGTCGACCAATCTACAGCATTGGCGTGGTTTCTGTTTATGTAATGCCCACTCTTGTACAGCAGGGGGCGTTCAGGCACATGGCAGGTAAGCTTTGCTGGCTGAGGAATTCTGGGAGTTGAAGTCCACAAGTCTTAAAGTTGACCAATCTTACAGCATTGGCGTGGTTTCTGTTTATGTAATGCCCACTCTTGTACAGCAGGGGGCGTTCAGGTAAAGGGCAGGTA